AGTATCATCTGATGCCCCTACCGAGCTGGATTGTGCCGACATGTCTACTGAACATGTCTACTAAATGTACTTTTCCTTTCTAGAAACTCGGCCGAAACCTCAAACCTGAACGGAAGGCCTATTTTATCAATTTTTTTATTTTTTCAGTTTTTATTCACTATTTTCTCCTCTTATAATAAAGATAGCAAAACACTCATGGAAGTGAATTCGAATACAAAAACATTTCAAAAAACAGAGTATTCTGGAGTCTGTATGTCTACAGGGGGATCTTCGAGAAGAATTGGCCGAACCTAACCCCCTCCCTCATCAGAGCGGAATCTAAGTTCCGCCCTGGTCGGTATTTGAAGTTTCAAATCTATTGGCTGACCTCTTTTTTTAAATTATCGGCAATTGCACGCTTCAAAATTGAAGTGACATCGAACCTTAGTGATGTTCTCGATGCTGCTTTCAATATTGGCCACCACAGAGGCGGTATCTTTCTCGCCCGTGAAGTAGTCGCTCACCCCTCCTGCTTGGAAGACGATCAATGGCTCTGAAAACAGCATTTTATACTCAGAGACCGATATCGAACTCTGATTTCAGCTGAGCTTAGAATCCCTTTCTATCGCCTGAATTTTCCGGATTAGTGAGACAAACGTGAAAAGCATCTGGACGCAGCTCGGCTTCATGGGGGCAAGCAATGCTACTCAGCAAAGTCTGTACAGGCCACCCTGTGAAACCGCCTATGAACTCTTGTAACCAAAGTTGCCACTTGTACGTTCCGCATTTTCACGAGAGTTCACAGATTTCAGCAAAATGTTACCTGTTAGCTGACGTGAACTAGAGAGAAAGCGAAAGCGCAAAAGATCCCCCTCAAACCAAACAGCGCCAGAATTTCTGCGACTTCTCCTGCTCCATGGGTTTTTGTGGAGATGCTAGTTGCAGCGACACTAGAAGTTAGCTCGGCGCCCGCGGCAATTGTCAGCAAGTAGACTCAGCTTGGTGTAACCCTCTCAGGCGAAATCTTGGGCCCTTTGCCAATGTGGCGCACCCGATGCTACATGTAGCGCGACGCCACGCGACCACATTTATCTCCGGCCGGCACCGGAGTTTTTCCGGCAAATGTGTATGTTTCCCTGTGAGGCGGCTTTGAGGTGAAATTCCCGATGTGCAACGGTTACCAGCTCTTCACGGATCTGCTGTTCTTCCTGTGAGGCGGCTTTGAGGCGAAATTCTCGACATGCCGTAGCCACCCAGCTGGAAAGTGCACGAAAACGCTACATTTGGCCAAATTGGGTCAAGCACAAGCGCAACGACCACTGTATCAAAGGAGCCAAACCACTGAGATCTTTGTTACCTTCACCTTTCTGTCCCTGGGGAAATCTCAAGGAAATGTTGTCAGAAAGGACAATGTCATAAACAGCTTCTACCAAATTACCAAATTCGGCTATGGAGAAGGGGCTTTTGTCAACCCTGGGATGGCCAACCCTGGCACTGCCGTGAATAAGGACTTCCGTGTAGACCTGGGAGGGAAAGAGCTCTGGAGTGGAAGGGCCAGTTTGTTCTTGCAAAAAGAGGTTTTGATTTATGGTCATTCTAGTTTTACACGAGGGCTCCTTTAATGTGTTCCGTCCCACTAGCGAATTTGTCCCACTGCTTGTAGAACGTATAGTAGTGCATAAAGATGCGCAACCACGGAACTATGGATTGAGCTCACTCACGTCTGCGTTTTCCACCAATATTGAGCTGTTCAGCTAGGCCACTATTCGAAGAAAACGCTACCGCGGGTGTCTCATACCGCGCCTCCTGTCACCGCCCCATCGTTTAGTTCGATACTGTAGCCTACCTCCACTTAGATGTAGATGATTTTCCAGATATTTCTGCACCTGCCAACCCACTCCTGACCATCCTTCGAAGTAGAAGTTGTCCTGACCACTCTTTGCACCACTGTACGCATAGTTGATATACTGAAAACGAAACCCAAGAAGCCTGAGCCATTTCAACTGGAGGCCTGAAATTGATTTTCAAAGCAGTACCTCATCGCATTGTAGCATTTGTTCGACATATTCTGGCCATATTTTCCCATTCGAATTTCGGGTGAAACCGTGTGATTCGCCGACGGCTTCAACACCGTCGTCCGAAAGGCTGTCGCCGAAAACGATAAACGACTGGCAACGAAAGTCCCGTGGCTAGAAAAAATTGAAGTTAGTGCTGACATTAAGCAGTCTAAAAGCATGCTAGAGTAAATTGCTAATATAAACAGCAAGTGCTCTCTTTTAGTGGACGATGTATAGGCCAGTTATGCATTTGAATGTCACTGTTACTCTGAATAGAATTCAAACGCATTTATTCCAAACTTCACCTTTAAAAAAGGGAAAAATAAAAAAGGAGAAAGGAAAGAAATAAAAGGATAATCTAAAGTAAATCAAAGTGTAGCAACGAATATTTCAGTGCATCCAAAAGCACTAAAATTGAATGAAACGAAATTCAAGTTTACAATTCTCATAACAATTTTTTGCACAC